TTCATCATTATATTATTTTTATTAATATTTTCGATGTATTCATTTTTGTATTAGGTTTAACGTGATTTTGAACACGGAATAAATTAATGAGCTTGTTTTCGAGTTATTAAAACGTTTATTGAAGATGCAAAACAGTTTTACTTCGAATTATCTCTTGTAAAGATGAACAAACATAATATATCAAAAAAAAAAAAAAATTATTATTTACCTCGTCAAACAAGATCAAATAAAACACGTTTTTATTCAAATAAACACGTTTGCTTTCATATTATACATTCATTCAATAAAGAAATATTTCCTGATAATATCATCCTGTGATATTATTATCTTTCATATTTGAAATCTGTCAAAAAATACAAGACAATAAGCAAATGTATGTAATTATATTTCTTCTTCAGATCATGTGAAGTTATTTATTATAACCACTTATCTAACATTTATCTAAGTTTTATATGTAATTGTTTATTTCGTAAGATCTATTAAATTATTCCTTGATGGAGATACAAAAATATTTTGAATCGAGGATTATGGAATCCATTGATCCGAATGCATTAGTTGATTAATCCCTTGCAATTCTCTCTAAACTTTCGGTTCGATGTGTATGCAGATTCCGTGGTAACCAGCCCTCCTAGCCAGCTTTTTATCTCTCCTCTTGCTTTCTCTCTTTTTCTTCACGCTTGACCGTGTTAAAAAGAAAAATAACTCGTTTTCAACCATTCTTCCTTTTTTTCTTTTTTTCCAACAACAAATGTTCGTTGCTCGTTGAACGAAAAACAGGTTGGTATCTTTCTTCTTTTTTTGTTATCCCTGATGTAACTTGTTGGTAATTAGAGTCTGATTTATTAGGCAAAAAGAAAAAGAAAAAAATTATCTTCATCCCTGACCACCAGAGATTCGAGATTATCGAATGAATTCATCGACGCAGAGCCCTTGAAATTTTACTCTCGGATTATATTCTATATTGTGGATAAATCCGAATTATACGTTTTAATTATGATAGCACGTGAAATAAAGTTGCGTGAAAATCGCAGATGTGTTAAAAATACGCAACGATTGTGGATGCTTGTGCATTTATGAGAAAATTTGTATGCATAAGAATGTATAAATGAATGTGCGTATTATTTATAAAAAGAGAGAAAATATCTAAAATAATATAGAATAAATGATGTGACAGGAAAGAACAATGCAATTAAAGCAGAAGAATTTTGGAGAATTAATGGTGATTTATGTTTTGAGTACAATTTCATTTTGTCGAAAATTAAGAAGGGATTTGATTGTATAACGAATTATACATTTCAAGGAGTACCTATTTATATATAGAATTTTTTCAGATTTTTTGAGAGTTTAAAATAGGGATTTTGTATTTTCACTAGTCTCCTTATTTACGGTGTAAAATAAATTCAAATTTCAATTTATACAAACATTTAACAAGAGATAATGTAGACAAGATTTGGTCAATTTTTAAAGAAACTTATAGTGGAAGGAAGAATAACCGATATCTGTGTTTAATTCGAGACATCACTGAAATAAGAAAGAGGATCGATCCGATCCCCTTATTAAAGATAAAACAATGCCCTCGACATTTCGGGAATATTCGCAAATATCTTTTATTAAATCCATTTCCTTACGAATACACATTCATGTTGCCACACTTTGTCGTTTCAAAAGAATCGAGATTTTTCTCCACAATCGTGTTCCATATGCAGAATGCTAATATATTCGTTTGGTAGTAACAAAATAAATTTTAACGATAAAAGTTGGTATACAAAAATGATTGAAATTGAAAATTGTCGGTATTTATTAGATATATAAGTAATTTAAGTTTACATTGAATGAGAACGGTATGACGAAGACAGAAGTTTCTCGCTTTCCCTCACTTTGTTTTATCTAATTACAGAAACTTAAATTGCTAATTTTAATGTAAATTATATATTTTCATATTGCAGATACTTTGCGTGTTTTATATAAGCAATACAAGAGTTATATTTATAAAAAATTTAAAAAGTGATATTTCAAAATAAGACATTTATAACATCATATTTGTATTTTTAATTAAAAATCGACTAAAATATCAATTATCGCGTAACTTACCTCGAGATTCGAAAAGCGTATTAAAATTAGGAAAACTTTGAACCGCTGTAACACCGAAAATAATAACTTCTGGGTAACAAGCGAGGAATCATTGAAAGCACAGAACATTGTCCTTTAAAACATTTTTTCATTTATCCTAATACAATTTCTAGTTCTTGAGATATCGTCGTGTAAAGAAAAGATAATTTTTAATCGTTTATTCGGTTCTCTTGCTCGCATCTTGTCTCTTTGGTACTGACCTGTACCAAACTTCAGACAAGTGACAAGTGCAATTCCTGGAAAAACATAGTACATATTTCCAGAAAAATATGTAGGTCACGGATTTATTCGTAATCTCTGCATTATTTGAAATACCATGGATATTTTAAGTTTAAAAAGTAATTTCGATGGCATGCTTTCTTTTATTTTCTAAGTTTTGATGACATATACGATATATTTTCTATTATAATATTATATTATTTCAACTTAAAAAACCTTGATCGACATCACATTTTTGTATATCAACTTTTACAATTCTATTATAATATACTATTCACCAAGAAAAAAGTTCGCCTCAAAAGAGTGAAAAATTTCTCTCGAAACGAAAAAAAAAAAAAAATTTGGATGACAAATCTCGTCTTGATTTCCCTGAGTTAGAGAAATGTTCGCGAAATGTCTTAAAAATAGGATCGAATAGAACGATCCAATTGGAATCGGTCGTCATGCGTCATCGAAGCCGGCAGATCACGACCCACGCAATAACTCTCCCGCTCTCAGTTCCAATCCAAGCCACCCCCTCATGACGAATTATAAAACCGCCCACACACCATCCGTAGGGGCATGTTTACGATTTTTCGTCGCACAATTGCATCACAGTGGAAATCGGCGAATCTCGTTGACGATAAAGCATCGATCGAAGAAATATTCCGACACGATAAATATTGTCGTTGGTCGGTTTCCATACCGTGTGAAACGTAGCAATATTTGCCAATGCGCAGGGTATAATATTCGTGTCAATGGACTGAAACGCAGTATCGCCATTGCCATGCGGTGATAAATGTTTGCAATGCTCGCGAACGTTACAGATATACGATCCAATTATGAAGAAAGATATTTAACCGTGTTTAACTTGTTAATAATATCGTGGCGTGAAAAAAAATAAAATTGGAATTTTTTATAGAAAATAAAAAAATGTATTTCTTTTATTAAAACAACTCTAGAATAATGAGATGAAGTAACACTTTTTGCATTTTTTTATAGAAATATTTTTATATTTAAAAATACGTGAACGAATTTCACGAAATTAAATATAAAAGGTTAACTTCAAATCAAATGTAAAACGAATGGTTAACGATCAAAATAATTTAATATCAATTAAAGGTCTTTGTTTATTTATACTATTCGATTCAATTCATTTATGAGCAGTTATATAAACAGACGTGTATTTCGAATTATGTGTTAATTTAATAAAATATGTTTTTTTAACTTCAAGTATTTAATTATTTTATTGCGATTGCATAACAAATTCTGTAACAAATAGCGGTAACTATACGTGTACTGATAAAAAAAAGTTACAAAACACGTGCTACCTTTAGAAAATATAAGTGTACATCAAAATAAGAACGATAATAACTATATTATAAAATATTCTTACAACTCATTAATGACACGTGTTTCAATTGTTTGTTCAAGTTCGGCGATTCGCTGACAGCACATACCCAACACTATCGCCATAACGCGGTACGCGCTCTGTGATTTGCCAATATTTTTCATTAATAACTCGTTAACAAAACCGAAATAAAAATTAGCGCAAAGAAAAAAGTTACTAAAATCGTCCACCAGTTAAATCTTGATCGATTTCGGGGACACTTTGTATAAAAATGATATTATCGAGCAGTTGAATTTAGTCGCCAATAGAATTATTCTATTCATCGCGGTATTCATTGGCAACAAAATCACTCTGCGATATTCAATATTTTACAGTATTTCAACCGATATCACATTATAAAATTTAGGACAGGGGAAAGTTGCTAATATCAATATCAATTCACAAAGTATTGCCAAGAGATTTTTCTTTAAATGAGAACAATGAGAAATAATATCTATTTTCATATCATCAATCATTTCGCGGTAATTTATCTATTTGATATACTATATTTTCTAAAAATATTCAAAAAGTACGATTTACGCAATTGGTATCCTAAATCGTACCTCATTTATTTATTTACTTATTTATTTCATTTAGCATGCATAGATTTTGGTCTTTTTATTTTTTTTTTTTTCTTTGGTATACAAATTTTATGGAACCATCATATCTTTTATATAATCTTCGTTACTAATAGTACGATTTAGGAAAACCTAACTTAATTCAACTTAGCTTAACTTACCTAAAAAAAAAAAAAAAAAAAAAAATTGATTGTAAGGAGATCATAATGAACCGCATTTTACAATGTTAATAATCATTATACACAATCGATAAAAATTGCACATCAGTCTTACCTTTCTTTCCCCCCTCAGTAAGTGTCCATTGAATTATAATTATCATTTAATTTAATCGTCTAATTCCTTCTTACATTTGGTATCACTAGTTATATACAGAGCTCTCCAGAGGGCACCACATCCGGCCACATAAAAGCAGAGATACGATTTAGAAGATCGGTACGCATTATGCAACTCTCCCCTGTTCGGTGAACTGGGATCAGATTACACGTACCGCATTCGAAATTTACGATCGGCCGAATTCGGTTATGTTCGCGGATTTTCGTAGGATCTCGATTGGGGAGGGGGAAAATGGATTTAAACGCTGGCGCGCGCTAAATGACCAGGAGTCGCAACAGCGGTGGTCGGTGGTGTGCTGGTGGTGGTGGTGGTAATGGTGGTTGTCGGCTTGGCCACGGAGGAACGCTTCATCGGAAGTCCTCTTCCTCCCTGGTTGCTCTTCCTCCAAGGCCACTGCAGAGTGCGGATCAAGGTGTTTCGGAAATCTTCCGAGAACAGGCAGTAAATGTAGAATGTGATCGAATAATTCGTTACCTCCAACAGATTGGCCAGGGCGCGAAACACCTGTAAGACGGGATCGAGATAAAAGTAATCGGTTTCTTAATGAATAGATTAGAAGGCATTATGAACAGATTTGTTATCTTTAACTGAAGAAGTTTTAAGAGTTGCTCCAATAATTATTAAGTGATTAATGATATTCTATTTATTTTATTTTGTTTCTTCTAGCAATTTTACTTTGTGGATTAATTTTATATTATAATTTTATTTCATAATCGTATTTTGCGTCTTAATAAAAAATAATAATCATAAGAGCATAATATAAGTATTTTGAAAAATTAAATAAATGTTGGATAGAATATTTCAATTAAGAAGGGGAGAATGATACTTGAGATAATTACCTGGTAAGGATAGTGACTGAGATTGCTTTCCCTCAATGTAACATTGAGAATTACCATAGGGCTAACGCAGACGAGGAACAAGATACTGGTACTCCCTAAAAGAAGCACGAGCCTTTTTTCTTCCGCGAACGTTCTCGAATCTTCATCGTTGCTCGTCGTCCTGGACAGTGTCATCCGTCGACGACGTTCGCAGGATCGTCGATAGACCACCATTATTCGAAGATTGAAACCAGCCAAAAGTATCGTCGGTGCTACTTTGAAAACGATTTCCAATACCACTTTGTACACCTACGTAGAAAAAGAGTCGAAAATTTTTAAATTCTGAAAGAAATTGAGGATCTCATGGAAGAGTGATAGATTCATTTATATTCAAATTAATACATTCAATATATATATATATATATTATATCATTGTAATATAACTACACACGTAATAAGTCAAAAAATGAATCTGCCTCATCTTTCTCCAAGATTTTCAATTCGAAATAACATTGATTTGGTTTTGATTACTTGATAAAACAACGAGTCGAGATAGAAGTGATTCTCCCTCTTCTGATAAATAATAGGTTCACCAAGCGCTGGGAGGCAAGTCGCTACTTCTTCCCGGAACACATTTGGCAGATAAACTAGGAACGTGGCGAGGGGAATAAGCGCCACGGTTAAATGCGGAGGGCCACAGAGTGGACGAGTGTGCTGTCCAGGCCGACAAACGCTAACGTAACGTTCCACTGTCAAAGCTAGCAGCATCATAACTCCAACTCCTGGAAAAAGTATTCTTTCTGTATATATATTCTTGTATAATATAATTCTTCCATTAGAAGTTTACTGATATTTAATAATTTTTTCTCTTTTTTGATGTAGTAGAAGCTCTGTGTATTTCTAATCTTACATTCAATACTCGTGATTTATATGCACTTGAAAAATTTATTTTAAAATATGCATATATATATATACACTTATATAATAATTAAAATAATTAAGTTACAAGTGCAACTTTGTTTAATAAAATATCATTATACAGGTTAAATCAGATCAAACTATCATATTCTACTATAAGGATGAAAAAGTATCATAAGTACTTTTCCTTGTAAAGTCGAATTTGATTCATTGTCATTAGAAAGAGGTATATTTCTTTGAATTTAGTTGTACATAAGTAAAAAGTATTTTATCTTTTTATTATCAAGAAACATTGAGAGTCATAGGATGTGCTATCCAGAAGCACATATGTAAACATGTACATAGTAAGATTTAGTATTATCAGATAACTGCAAAACTTTTTGAATCCTTCACTTATTCTAGTCTATGTCTAGTCTATTCTATTGTCTATGATTGGAAAGAAGAAAATAAAATTGAAAAAATTTAATTAATGGAATATTTCAAAAACTGTCTTACCCAAACAACCATTCCCCAAGAAGAGCTCGAGGTGAGTGTGATAGAAAGCTTGTATCCAACTGCTCCATCTGCCTGTCTCTTTATGGATAAGAACCCTCATGTCAAAAGGGATACAGAAAAGAAGCGCGAGCAGCGCTGCTGCCGAGTAACCTGCAAGAGAATTATTTTTTTATTAACTAAAATTTTCATAAAACAAGATATGAACATAAAATGTCACATAACCTACATATAGATATAGTTACTTTAATATCCAACACATTTTATGTTCAATATTAAATTACTTGTGCTTTTATCGCATAACGCGAGTAAAAGTTTAGTAAATTTTATTAATTTTTCACAGAATTTCGATATTCACATTATTAGATAAAAAATATTTGACTTTGAAATAAATATTGATATTCAAATCTTCGTGGAAATTATTTTTCTCGTTGAAAAGTCCAATTTGCGGAAAAATAAAATATTAATCGTGGATCTGATGCCGATATCGAGACGATCCAAGAAGAAATAAATGGCGGGTATTTCATATATGAAAAATTCATCATCACAGAAATGATTTATTCGTTAAAAAAAAAAGTTAATAATAAACATCCCACATTTTAACAAAATTAATTTTATAAAAATTTTTAGAAACACTACAATATTAAAAGACAGAAACATTATGATATTACGAAAAATACAATAATTTTTAAACTGTTTAACGAAAACTTATCGCTATCGAATTCCAATAAGGACTAATTTGCTCGAATTTGCAGCGATTTCTATTCACTTCGATTTCAAACCACGTGGCGCTGTAGTCGAAATTGAGTTTCTCACTCTTTCTTTAAGCAGGCTATCCTACTTATACGAATGATCGAGTTATGTCCCCTCAAAATCAGACCATCTTCATAAAAAAATTGTTTATTTTTCTTATACAATCAGCTCTCTTATAACACGGTTATTTGTAACAAAATTATGATACAAAAAAAATGTCAATCAAAACAGTAAATAGAAACACTCGTAATATATGAATCTTGTTTAACAAATATTTCAATTGATGATAGAATTTCATAGATTTTTTTATATTTTATAAATCTGAGAATAATTTTCAATTTTTGATATTTCTAAAGGTAGTATTTTCATCGAATTTCGTCTATAGGATGATTGCACGGTTGACCTTTTATACAGAGACGTGACTTTAAAGTCAGTTTCTACTGAACTTTACTAGTACATACAAAGTTTAAATTTATGTTAAACTTCTTTTAGATGTTTTGTCCATCTAGACTGGACTGCAGCTACAACTTTATTGGCATCATAAGGTATCGTATTGTGTCTTAGTTTTAGGTAGATCATAAAATAGATACTTGAATTAAGTTTATTACTTGCAAGTTTCTTATTTGGAACGAAAAATAAAACTTTCGATTCTTCTCCTCGCTTATCAAATAAAAAAAAATTATTTTATCGATTGTTTATTCAAATTTTTAGGTTGTAAATTGTTTAGTTCACAATTGATCGTATATTCTTCAGTTTTATACTTTTAGAAAATAAATTCTTTCAAGTTTGTTTCACATCTAGCTTAAGTCAGAATTTAATCTTGGAAAAAGTTGAACGAATAAAAAGAATTTTAATATAAATAATTATACAAATTTATTTAAAGATAAAATTTAGTTTTCAATTTTTTTTTTTTTTTTACAAACTTCTTGAATTACTTCGGTTATGGTTACATTAATATTTGTGCGTATAAAGTGTTAATATATTCATAAGATATCTTTGGAGACCAAAATAAATATAAAAGTTGGTATATAAAAATGGTTTATTTATTAAATTGTAAATAATTTAAGTTTTAGTTAGATGAAAAGAGATGGAGACAAAGCGCGAAGAGAGATGTGACAAAGATAGAGTTATTTCACTCTATCTCGTTTCGTCTAATATGCTCAACTTCAATTATAACTTGGTAAATAAGTTTCAATCAATATTTTATTTGTTTTAATCTTTAGAATTGATCTTTGAAGATGTATTCATGAATAGATTAACACTCTATGTATTATTCATTATATTATATTGGATTATGGATTTTTTATTGTTTTATTCAATATCATATATTGAAAAACTTTTAAATTATTTCAAATTAATAAATATCGATGCAAAAAAATCTTTTGAAAACGTTTGTTTTTGTCCAAATATCTCAGATTCAAAAGATAATCGAATATTAGTATTTAATCAATGTTTGTAGTACAGATCAATCATTTGATCAACCGAGGAGTATAAGTTAATAACTTTATTGGACAAATATACTTATCTGTGAAATACTTATCATTTGCATACTTACTTATTTGCAGTTGTTATTTTATAAATTTTATAAATTTTATAAATTATTTTTTTAACAATTTTCTTAATTCTAAAGATATTTATCTTTTGTATATTTATCTCTTATAATAAGAGTTATATGTAGAAAATCTTAGACAAATAGACATAGATAAAATAAATAATAGGGAAAAGAATAGAAATTAAGTAAGAATTATCCTATTAGCATAAGTCTATATTAGATATAAGAGAAGATCAATCGTGCAATATATTTTTATGATGCAAATTCGTGAATAAAGATTATATTTCTTTTAAAGCAAGGTAAGATAAATAACCAGACTAAGAAAAATTGAAAACTAACGCCATCTTTTAAGTGTCAATAACATTTTTCTTCCAAAGAATTCAAGAGATGGCGTTGATAGCCAATTCTTACACTATCTCTATCTTTCTTCTATTATTTGTTTTCCTTGTCTATATGTTTCATTTACGGCACTCTAGAGATGGCGCTGATTGTCTAATTTTTATTATTTCTATCCTTCTTCCACTATTTGTTCTCCTTGTCTATACTCGTTCTTGGCGCGTAATTACAAACAAGATATATTAATTAAACTTTTATTCAAAAATAAATTATAAATAAAAATCTAATAAAATGCACAAATAAATTATAAATAATTTGCGTAACAATATTTTAAAATAATAATATCAAAATAAAATAAAATTTTAGTTTTAATCCTAACTTTTTTTGTAATTAAAAAAATATTTTTTACAAATATGTTTCACTATTTCAACTACTTGTTTCATAATAGTTTATATAAATATAATCATATATAAAATGCAATACGTATTTTATACAGGTTTTCAAGATATTCCATTTAATTTCACTTTCAACGTTCACTAACATTGCAATCTCATTCTGAACCGAATCTATAACGTTGAAAATGACACTAAAATGTAAAAAAATTCTAGTTCCTCCAAGATAAGAGACGAAAAAATAAATTGAATGTTAGGTCTATTTTGTACTTCGTATATGTGTGATAGTATAATATAATAGAATCGCAGTACGAACACGTGAAAAATTTACGGTGCTTTAGAATGCTGACCAACCATGTAAGCAAATTAAACGATGTTTTTTCACCTCCCCACGCATAATTCTCTGTGAATAATATTCCAACGTGGTTACGTATATTGTAAAGAATTTTTGCAAAGTGGTCGTTAATACAGCAAGAATGTTGATAATGCATAGAATCTCAGTCGTCGAGCTGATGTCACAGACAGGGTAGAGAATAAACGTGATATGCTTTTTCATGTTACAAGTATTTAAATGAGGTTTTCGGGAAAATATTTTCGAAATTCCTAAAAAAAAATTCGCAATTTTCACCTCCTCTCGGATTATATTTCCCTGATACAAAATCGAAATTTTGGGAGCAAAAATTTTTATTCACATTTTTTATTGGAAAAGACATAGCATGTGAAATTTTTCTGAAATTTAATATACTTGCTCGTTTTATATTTATTCTGCCAAGATTGTCAAGAATCAATCGATTGAACATGGAAAAAGGAAAGAATCGGATGGAAAGTGAAAGACAAAGAAGTTCCTAAGTTTGATCGGTCTTTCAAAAGAACGAGGACGAAGTTTCTCGTGACAGGAAGCGAAATTTTCAGGCTATGAAAATAAAAGAACAGATCGCAAGGATGTTACCTAGAAAACAGAATCGAGTGTTAGAATACAGAAAACATTCATTCAGTTTTACAATGAAAGAAAGAAAGAAAGAAAGAAAATTTTCTCTCAAAATTCCAAAAATGGAAATCCAAACAATACTGAAGTGAACATCTTCTTTTATAATTCATTTTGTCAATTTGATTTTATATTTATTCACACGTATTTACTGTATATATTGACAGCAATAATCTGAGCTATTTTTTAAAAAAATAAGAAAGTTTGCCTGATCCTTCGACTTTTTATCCTTGATACGATGACGAGCTTCGAATGTGATCAAACTCGAATTTGATTAGCCGAGGAGAGAACTCGAAAAGCAACAGAAGGAAGAGCAAAGTATGAAAGTTAAAAAAAATACATGGATAATAATTAACGACATGGAGAATTCCAGCTAAATTAAGCATAACTAATCGCTAGTGTTATCGAGAATTTTTATGCAAATATATATTTTTATACAGTGAAGTATCTTTCGAGGAAAGAGTGACTACGAATAAGAAAGTTCTTACGAAGTTATTATTCTTACGAAGACATATTATGCATTATTAATAATTCTTCTATAAATATCTAACTTGGAGTTAAAGATTACATAAAGTCAACTTTAATTTTTTAAACTATAAAATTTGCACTAAATCTACTTAAAAAAATTAAAATCGAATGTTCGATCAATGTTGAATTGAATATTTTGAAGTTTTCTGATTTTCGAATTCTGTTTCTCTGCTCCGGTCAGAGATGAAATCCTCGTCAGCAAAATCGAAGATTTTTAGCTTGGTTAAAATCAGAAAGTTTGTAAATGCAGAGAAGAAAGTGGAGAAAGCACGAGAGACGAAATAGACAAGGCGAAAAAGCTAAGTGAACACGAGAAAAAGGAGAGCGTTCGTTCTTCT